GCACACACACACACACACACACACACACGTAAGACCACATCTGCAGTATGGTGTTGTGTTCCACAGATGAAAAAGGCCAAAGAGTTTATGGGTGAAATAAATTAAATAAAATGAGGGAAAAACATGCTGTAGATAAATATAAATTCAAATACTATCCATCCTGATTAAACAGAGAATCCGAAATTACAGTGTATTGAAAAAAAAAATCACTTCAATAGGCATCCAATATGGCATCCCTTGTGCAAAAAGTGCACAATGTAAAGTTAATATCACAGGTGGGACCAAGTCATTGTTTTGCAAGTCACAAGTAAGTCTCGAGTCTTTGCATTCAAGTCTCGAGTCAAGTCCCAAGTCAAGACAGACAAGTCCCAAGTCAAGTCCCGAGTCAAGACAGGCAAGTCCAAGTTGAGTTGCAAGTCCTCAGCTTTAAGATTCAAGTCTTAAACAAGTCATTAGTGCTTTTTGCCCAAATTAGTGTCTCAGTATTAATTACCATATCAAATTCATAGTAATTTATATCAGGAAGGCAGGTACACAGTAAAATCAGCATTGTAATATTTGCAGTGTTAAAAGTTATTAATTCCCAAAGAGTTGAATGAACAATCTACAGTTTTAAACAGTACTCGTGTGCAGTGTTGTTATATGGTGTAATTTCACTTTTACACTGAAAGTGCGTAATAAAAAACCCCGCCGAATTGTCTGGACTCCGCCCTTCAATGACTGCTGCCTTGGGAAGCGACGACGCCATTTTTTCTTCAAGCGACCGAGACGTAAGTTTGATTGCTTTTCTCTTTATAAAAGTACACGGGAAAAACATTTTTGTTGATAATTTTACTCAAAATATGATTGGTGGTGAACACATTTAGAAATTACTAACTGTGCGTGTTTTTGTCAGGTTTAGTGTTAAGTTCGTGTCCATGAGGTGCAGAGATGTAACGTTAAGTTACAGAAGAGTGTGAAAGTTTCTCATGCCGGTTCGATTTCCTGAAAAAAGGTGATTAATGTTACGCGTAAAATAACTTTTTGGAATGTGCTTACAATTTATGTTGTATTTGCTTTTAGCTTCTTTCATTTTGGTTCGCTGACAGATCCTCTCGCCTCCATTCCCGCCGAGGCCTGCTGGTTTTTTTACTCGTAGTAAAACTACGAGTCTGGCACTGGAGTCTGAAGCAGCCACATCTGGGGGTTTTCTACTCAAATGAGAGAATTCATCAAATGGTAAATTTATATTTGTTTTTGAAAGCATTGAGTGTGGCATTTCGCTGTTTCCATGCTTTGAAACGGTAATAGTGGGGCTGCTAAACATTACGCGCTAACAGTTTAGTTTTTGTGATGCAAACACCGTGTTGAAGTGTCTGTCTCGCCCGCTGCAAACGAGCAGTCTTTCTGCAGACAGAGCTGGCATAACGCGGAACATTTACCAGTCATTTTATTGACGTTATCTAATGCCTTACTCTGAAAGTAGAGCGCGTTTAAAAACTTCCATTCACCCTAGGCTTAAGTGTGAACTGCGTAATCTGTACGTTGCTTGTTCTCAGCGCTGAATATCATGTCTGTCATGTGGTCATATCTGCGTCAAGACACAAACGCGCTACCATCAAGTTTTTCTTATGACAATTACGTTTATGCAAGCATCGTGAAAGTGAGTTAAAGGTACGTTAAACTGTAAATCCGTCAGTCTTTCAATTTCCTTCAGTGCCCACTGGCAGAGCATGCAGGTACTTGAGCTTGAAACCAGTCTTTATCAATCCATATGGCATGCTATTTTGGGTTAAATAATGTCCTAAATATTTCTAGATATACAAAGTTGAGTTTTAATGAAGAAATAAGTCTGAATCTATCCATATTTTCTTTTCACATTATAAATAATAAATTATTAGTAAGATTAATTCTTAACACATGTTAATTTATTCTAATGTAATACACTGTTCATTTTAAGATGCCTTATTACTCGTGTTACTCATTAAAATTATACAAATGTATTTAATAATCAGATTAAATAAATACTTAAATTGTTTCAGGCCTCCATGTGAATATTGCACAATGTTTCATTTAATTGACCCTAGAATGAAGTATGTAAAAAAAAAATGACAAGTTTACGATTTGACACCTGTATTATAGACAGTTCTCAGCATACTCAAAATTAGGGGTAATCACAATTATTTTACCATATTTACAGTCCTAATGTAAATTTAAATTACTGAAATAAGTAGCCCTTCAAGAAAGGAGCAGAATGCTGAAGATGATGCCAGAATTGTGAGTCTGTGTCATTTATATGTTATTCTATGTGCAGTACAAATTTAAAACGCACAAATTAATATGAAAAATTAAAGTTGAACAGGCACACAATATCAGCTTATGTTCACACCTGGAATTTACTAATTATTAATTTAAGATATCAAACTGCAAAAAAATAAATGGTTAGTTGACCCAAAAATGAAAAATTGTCATTATTTCTCACTCTCTGTCATTCCAAACCTGCAAGACTTGCATTCATTTTCAAAACACAAATGAAGACATTTTAAATGAGAAAATGTCCTTCCATCGACAATCTACACAACTTTGATACTTCAAGAATTTCATAAAGAAATCATAAAACTAATCCAAATTAATCGAGCGGTTTAGTCCAAATTTTCTGAAGAGACTCGATCGCTTTACAATGAACAGATTGAATTATTTTTTTTTTCACATTTAAAGATTGATCAGGGAACATAAACAGAAAAACAGAAAATTTGGACTAAACCACGATACGTATGGATTAGTTCTCTTTATGGATTAGATCTCTTTATGAAGTTTATGAAGTATCAAAGTGGTAGTTGCTTGGACCGTCATTCAAGGGACAGAAATCTTATATTCTAATATCTTCAATTGTGTTTCAAAGATAACAAAAGTCTTGGCTGAGTAAACTGATGAAATTTTCATTTTTGAACTAAGCCTGTAATAAAAGAATGTGGCCATATGCGTCACCCAAGATGCGTGCTAATGCCAGGTGTGAACAGAGCCACTGTGTGACTACACAATCAATTTAGCAGAATGGTTCCTGAGAGAGATGTTATCATTAATTGTTTTTTCTTTTTTTTTTTCTTTTCAAGAAGCCAAGTTCCTGGCTTCTCCCAAGACCTTCAAGGACCCAATTGACCTCGGAATCATCTGTAAAGGAGGATGAAACCGATTTCTAAGGTTAGACTATATTTCAGAATAAGATTATGTATATTAATGCTTTATCTATATTCTGTGTTCATGCATTTTTTTGCTAAAGTTGTCATATCTGTTATTTAGAATGGGACAGCGATATTGCATCAATTGGTCTCCTACTTCATTTGATTCCACCATCACCACAAGGCTGCAAGGGACCTGGAAAAATGTCGTCCTATCAAGCTGAAAAACATCTTCAAAAAGGTACATTTGGACATTTCTGTCACTACCTATTGTCTGCCTCAAAATATTGCCAGATGGGTTGTATATGAAAGACTAATGTAAATAAAATCGGTTGGAGAGCTGACCTTGAGTGTTTTTTTGTATTTTTGTCTTTGATCTGCAGGCACCAACAAGAAGAACAGCTTGATTGCATAGAAGAGACCACACAGCCATACCTGCTCGCTGATGGGACAACGAGGAACATCATTCATGGATGCTACACAACTGTCAAATCTACCTGTCATATTTGTTCATGTCTAGGTAAATTTGATGATTTTGTGTTTTATTAACTATTTTATGTTTCTGTGCAACACTTAATGAATGTGACTGACTAATTAACCTCTACACATCAGATATATGTTTTAAAGTTGCCACTTTGCCCATTTGTTAAATAAACGTTGAAATGTATACATCTGTCTGAAGACTCTTGATTTTATGTCTAATCTTGTACATTAACACCATACAATAGCATTTTTTTGTTTGCACTGAAAAGAATACTTTAATAACACTTAAAGGATTAAAACAACACCAGGGGTGTTAAATACCCCATAGTGTAAAATTTAAACAACAATAGCAAGTGTAAGCAGATGTTTGAATGTTTAGTTCTCTCTTCTATCATAATTAGCAGCAGTTGCACGTGCTGAAGCTCCTCCGCATGGGCGCGATCTCGCTTCTGAATTGCGAATAGCAAAAATGCATCATAGACAAATGTTTGAAAAACAGCTGGTGACTCTGGTGAGATAGAATTTGCAAGATAATGTATATATAGCAATAATAAATGTATGTGTGTTTTATTAATTTTTCCAGTACCGATAGCAGAACCGTTAACGTCAGAGCTTATCGATACTCCGGTCTTTCATAATTTAGCCCCGGGACCGATTAAATACCGGGTTTCGGTACCCATTCCTATTTGTGAGGTTCTCTATCAAGACGACTTTATAATCTAATAAAATGTACCAGAAAAGGCATTCTGTATTTGTATGTGCTTTACCACCATCAACACAGAAGGTTTTGTTCTTTAGTAAGAATATGCAAATTGGGATCCAGCCTAGGTTTATTATAGCTTTGTAAATATACACAAAACAAATGCAAATTAAAAACTGCAACATGCGAATAAATTTCCAAACCATACAAATGAAGAATATAATACAGTATATCACCAGTAGCAAATAGGGATGTAACAATTCACTCAACGATACTGATTTCACGATTCGATTTTCTCACGATTTGTTTTAAACAAAATTAGATTTAAGACAAATTATAAATGAAAAGGTGTCCTTTTATTATTGCTTGGACAAAATGCTGCACATTTCTTTGTGAAACAGAAATATGTCAAATAGGCTAACAAAACTAAATTGAAATTTTTAAACAAACCCCAAATCTAATGAAGTAAATAAGACAAAAAAAACTCTTCATATAAACAAAGGCTTTCCCTGTGCTCTTTCCATTCAAAATTAGAGGTAACCAATGCATTTTAATCACAATCCAAACAAAGATGCTGAATACATGCAGCATGAGAAATTTTTTAAAACTAAATTAGATTGTATAATTAGACATTTTAAAACAAAAACAGAATGCTCTGACTTTAGTTTTGTGAAACTATACCACATAAAACATCTGCACGAAACAGAAACAGCAGACGAGCTGAATGAGATGCAGATTCACTCTCTGACAGCAGGAGACGCTTATGGAACAGCAGCGATACAGCGATTCCTTGGTTACCACTGTAAACAAAGCAGCGCAGCGCTTATGAACGCTGCTTTAATATGAATTATTCAGAGACGAGATGAAAAGAAAATATCATCTAAACTTTTCTAAAGTCAGTTCCCCTCAGAGATACATTCATATAAACACCCACTCCCAAATGTATCGCGATTCGTTTAACATCTCAACCGATTTGAATCGTCACATATTTGTATCGATTCCTAGTAGCAAATGTTGATTATAAACAGTATATTGTTTGGGTTCTATGGACTGTGAACAGCTGCCTGCTGGTGATAAAAACCACTGTGAGTGAACTGTGAAATACAGCATCCATACACACCACACATACAACTCTGTATCTGGGCTGCTGCTGCTATTTAGGATTTCTGAAACATAAGCTGTGATTTCCTGTGCAATAACCAATCCAAAGCCTGGCACTCAGACATATGCCTGGGACATACTGGAGACTCAGCAGGGGGTAGAACAAAGCACCAACGAGTCAGAACAGACCAAACACTCTGCACAGGCCCTGACAAGCCCCCACAAATCAGCAGATGTGTTGTGGCACTTGGGGATGGGAGAGAAACACCACCCGCCAACCTGATTGAGAGATTTCCATATGCTGTCAAGACTGGGCAGCTATAAAGAGAAGAAATACGAGAGATTTCACTAAAATGGGTGATACAGACAGATGGAAGGAGAGAGAATAACAGAGACTGAGAAACAGGTAAAGCAAGGTAGAAAAAATAAAGGGTGATGTACAGCAACATAAGTAACAGACAAGAGACGTTTAGTGTGACAGAATCTCGGCGGGCAGCTGGAGTGTTAGCAGTCTACAGGAATGTATCTTAACATAGTTCACAGTCATCCATGGAGTTCAATTGCACAGCTGTCTGCTCAGAAACAAACAGGTGACACCTGCTCAACAAACTCACTATGAAGAACCGCAAGAGAAACTGACAAATGTTGATGGGGCAATATTACAGTAAAATATTAAATTATACCACTCTCTCCTTCTTGACAGGATGCTGGATGCAGCTTTTCAGCTTTAACTGGTAAAAAAATGGTGAACTGTTTTTTTTTTTTACTCTGAAAACATAAATTATCATCCATAAACTAAAGTAAAGTAAAAAGTAAAGTAAAGTAAAGTAAATTACTAGAGTGAGTTAAGCAAAAGCAGCAAGATTTTAGTTTGCAAAAGATGTTTTAACCTTAGAATGAGAACAATCTATCAGCATTAAGAACCTCAACACATCAGTTAGTCAATAATCAAAATTCAAAATGTTTTCAAGCAAAACAGGATATTTTAAGAAGCAGGAACTACCTTCTCAGAAACAGAGCCTGATTTTAAAGAGTTTGCTAAAACTATGGCAAAATAACTATTTAGGTACTGGGTTAACATTACCCAACCAGCTCAACATGTGGCCTTACGTCAGGAAATGAAAGTCAAAGTAGGTGCAAGTAATAACACAATACAAAGACATTCCAAACATTATTTCACTACCACTCAAAAGTTTGAGGTCTGTAAGACTTTTAATGTTTTTGAAAGAAATCCCTGATGCTCACAAAGGATGCATTTATACAATCAACAATTCAGTAAAAACAGTAATATATTTTTATTTTTAAATAGAAATATAATTTTCAATAATATATATATATATATATATTTTTTTTTTTTTTTTTTTTAAATT